CACTGCTATCTATTATTCCAAAGATCATGTAGAAAGCTCAACTTCGAGCTCATGAAGTGCCTGGAACATTCAGGTATTATCGAGGGTATTATCAACGATAGGCAATATGGCTTCCGTCATCAGAGATCAACTGGTGACCTGCTCGCTCACGTCTCACATATATGGTAGCAATCTATTGAAAAATATGGTGAAACCTCAGCCGTGGCACTTGATATATCCAAGGCATTCGATCGAGCCTGGTTCGATCGAGTCTGGCACCACGGACTCCTCGCCAAGCTTCCATCTTATGACTTGCCTCCCCAGCTATGTTCTCTGCTAGCTAGTTTTCTCTCAAACAGGTCTCTCCATGTAGTGGTCGACAGAGTTTCATCTGACTCTCTTATCAAAATGCTGCTGTTCCGCAAGGATCATCTCTAGCTCCAACACTATTTCTACTTCATATCAACGATTTGTTGGAAGCAACTTCATGTCCAGTACACAGCTTCGCGGATGATAGTACCCTCCATACCGCCTTCTCTTCCAGGGTTCCAATACCAGCCAAGCAAATCAGAAACGAACGAGGAAGAAATGTTGATAACATGAATATGGACTTGGCCACAATTCTCGAATGGGGATCTTATAACTTGGTCGATTTTAACGCAAACAAAACACAAGCATGCCTTTTTTCAAGAAGAGCCAATCTCACTGTGCCCAACATAAGCTTGTCAGGAGTAACCATACCTATGAAGACATCCATTTCGATGATTGGTATCACTATCAGCAATAAGCTTTCTTGTGAAAATCACGTGAGATCAATTGCTAAAAGTGCAACTCCTGCTTCTTGTATCCTCGTTTTCATAATTGATAAATTTCTTATATTATTATTGTACAATTATAACCCTCATCGAAGATACTACCTATTCAGCGGCCAGCGTAGCCTCGTGGTTAAAGCGTCAATGTTCTATCCACGTTGGATTACCGGTAGTGGGTTCGATTCCCACCACGACCGCATAAATTTTTCTGATGGCCTGAGAAAGTGTTTGGGTTGGGATCACACGTTAAAAGGTAAGACCCCCGTCTCCTGAAGACATCTGAGGGTTAGGGGGCAACCAAATGATGGATAAGAACAATTTCAGAACAATCTAGAACGATTAGTTACCCACCGAGGTACCTACTATTCCTCACAAACAGTAGATAAGTACCGGAGTATAAGGGCATTCTATCGCATGAAGCGTTTTTCACGACATACTGCATTGGTCTCGCCATTGGTGCTTTCTCAACACTCTGTACTCTGTAGATAACGCGAATATAATTAGTCATGAATCTGAAATAGTATAATTCCAAAATCTATTTTTATCGGTATTGCCGTACTAAAAAATGATATACCGTGACAATGTGCAGTCGTAAATGCTATTAAAATTTCAAATTAGACAATGTTAGAAAACATCAGGTGACTGAATAAGTGTTTTATTAAAAGAAACGATTGTGTGAAGGAGTTGAATTTCAATAAATAGGTACACACAAAGGTGTACCTACATTTCACATAGGTAATATACAATATACAAGGTATGAAAAAAATGAAAGTAGCTGTCACTAGCGGTAAAAGCAGAAGGTACTGAACTCTGTACTGAATATATGTACAAAATGGTACTTGTGCCAAGACCCGCCAAGAACTATACCTTTCAACAATTCAGCACTCGAAGCTACAGGGAAGATGACTCGATTCTTGGTCAGAAATTAACTCAGAAATTACATCAGTAGAACAGGTACATCTAAATATTTTGACACTCATTTTATCGTGTGATACCTAACAGTTATTCAATTTTACTTGATTATTCGAGATTTGTCTCCTCGTTTCTATAAAATAAAAATATGAGTAATATTACAATATGTGTAGTAGGACAAATCCTCGGACAAATCAGACAGTATTTAGTAATACAAGAATTATTTCAACAAGAACATTACACAAAGTATGTTGAGTATGGGTCGAGGTATGGGTATTAGGGTATTCCGGAAAGGCATATCTCACTATCGGCAAAAATACTATTGAAAGAGAGAAAGAGGAGGAATATGAAATTACCTAACCGAGAACCTAAGTCGCATTGAAATAATAATGTGCATAAATTCTCTTTTCCTCCATTTCTTGACATACCCCTCGACATACCCAATCGAATTTTACTACCTGCATGGTTAACCCTTTACTTTGTCCTTTAAATTCCTCTAATGTTCTTTCAATCCCTCACTACAGTTTAAGGAATGGGTACACAGTGTTCATCAATTTCCTCTTGAATTCTCAATTTAGCGTGCAACAAACGAGTTGTTACATCTGTTTAATGAATCTCCTTTAGTTCCTGTTACTTCCTATAGTTGCCTTTCAGTTCCTCTCATATATCATCTCTTCTTCAAACTGATCCTTATAAATTTAGTCTACCAATTGATTATTGATCTTATCTAATATATTTTATAAAGAGGAAAGATTTGATTGTTTGTTTGTATTGAATAGGCTCCGAAACTACTGGACCAATTTGACAAATTCTTTTACCATTAGAATCCGACATTATCCTTGATGAATATAGGCTACTTTTTACCGAGGAAAAATGCTTCATTCCTACGAGAAAATGGGTAATACGACAACGGGTAAAAAGAATTGTCCTTCCGTATTTATCTTTTTCACATAATTAACTTCTAAACGGCTGAACCGATTGATGGGTTGAAATGTTATATGAGTATTTTGATGGTTTCCTGGATGATTTAAAAATATAATTTGACGCGGTAGGTGGTGCTGCTGCTGGTACGTCAACAACTAAACGGCATGATCGATTGGATTGACATTTTCAATAGGTAAAACAACAAAGAGAATACCTCGGAAAATACAAAAGATACTGAGAGAATAAATATAGGTGTGAGTATACAATAATAGTCTCAATAATAGTAGCTATTGACTCGGCTATTGATAAGCAGAAAGAATTGAAAATAATAACAAAAAAATATCTACTCCAGATACGCGCATAGCTCAGAACGAGGCTCAGAATGACAGCAACAAATGTCTGATTTTTTTTTAATTGTGTATAATAATAATTTTCCCTATTTTTCAAATCATTTTATACTGAAACGTAAAATGAAAAGACACAATCAATCATAAATATGATTTTGAAAAGGCTGATGCATGAGAGGGGACCATTATTATAGAAGCCGAATCAAGTTGGGGAGACACTATACAGTGTGTCTTACTTCAGATGGGTATTCCCTTGTATATTATTCTATGATCATTCTGAGCAGAACAGAACACGTTGTCAGAATATTATTCGTAAAGTATATTCTGGTGCAGTTTGGGATACTATTACGAATTATGGAGGTCGTTGGTATTATTACTAATACCTAATGTAATGAATAAAAAAGACACTGCAAATGCGAATGCGAACAAGAACAACATGCAAAATCGGAAAAAAAATTAGGATTCATCGTATTGTGACGTGAGCATGAGAAATTGTGGTGGGGCAAACAAAGAAATGGCTCAGAAGAACAAAAACAATAATTTCAATATCCTTAAAGACCTCTTTGGGAAGTTATATTACGTCTGAAAAAAACATCCGCCTGCCAATATTTTCAAAAGATCCCAAAACATCCCAGGGATACCTCTCAGTAGGCACACAAAGAAATGCCACAGAAGAACAAAAACAATACTTAAATATCCTACGAAGACCTCTTTGGGAAGTTATTTTTCGTCTCAGAAATACATCCTCATGCCAATATTTTTAAAATATCCCAAAAATTCCAGGGATACCTATCAGTAGGTACACAAAGAAATGCCACAGAATAACAAAAACAATACTTTAATATCCTTCAAAGACCTCTTTGGGAAGTCATATAACGTCTCAAAAATACATCCTCATGCCAACATTTTCAAAACATCACAAAACATCCCAGGGATGTTTGTGCTCGCTGGGTATCAGCTAATTATGGAGAAACAATTCAGCAATTCGCAGGAGCGACAGTACTAAGGAAGAGACACTCAATGACAAAATGAGATTATCGTCAGTGATATACACTGCTGTTTATAGTTTCAACCAAATAACTTCAAAATTTCAAAACTTTCAGAAAAGCCAATAGAGGTAGGTACTTAGTAACAAAAATCATCTCTTGCCAGAAACAGTTGATTATGCCGTCCAAGATGCCTTCAAACCCCTTCTAAGTTTCAAAAAGGGGCCCAAACACGCAGGTATTCTTATCTGGTATGAAGAAAACCTTGTACAGAGATCTAGTATTCATCCATATAAACATAATATCTCAGTAGAAATCGAGGTAGAAATCTTAGAAACACCAACTACCAATAAAATAAATCGGGAATTACTGGATATGCTCGTGGATTGGATTCACATTTCCGTCTACATAATAGTTCAATAATTAATTTTTTGATATGTCTTTGGCTGAGTTAACGGTTTCAACTGAGGTTTCAACCGAGGTTTCAACTGACTTTGTTGATGGTGTCAACTGGGGGTTATCCTCATCACTTGACAATCACAACCGAAGAACCTGTGGGTGGTCCCGCAAGGGTCAATGTCTGGACCCTTCCACGAAATAATTTAGCATTGATCTGTATCGATCTTATTTTGACGTTCATATAGGGGAATTCATGATCTTTCCGGATCTCTTCACCTCACTACGACTCTGAACCATATTACCATATCAACAAAAACTAATATTATGAACACGATGAAGATCTGAGTGTTGTGAAACCAATAATTATTTATTCCATTCCTTCTGAGGCAATTCGCTTACAGCTACAAGTTTATCATCGTTGATACTCAAAGCTGAACATGATATCTATATGCCTATATAATTTATCATGAAATGAGCTTAAAGGAATAATCAATGACTCGATGAAAAGATTATCAGAAAGATTGATTTGCTCAAGGTGTTAGATTTATGATCGAGATTGTTAAAAGCCTATAGAATTAGCTGGTCTTTGTCATCGAGAATTTGTATTCTTCCGACCATAAAGCTGATGAATACTGCCATACCTGGGTAGGTACCTGCACTTCTCTGACTGTACTACATTTCCATGGAGAGTACCTATTATTACGTCGGAATTCGCCGTTAGTGCTCTTCGCATTCCTTTCTTCGTTTCAATAACCTCCGCACCTTCATCGTTATTCACCTTCGCTACTCAAAATGCCACCACACTAAACAACTTGTAGGTAGGTAATATAACCGAAAACCGTTGCGATAACAAACGAAAAACGGAGTTTCAGCGTTCACAGCACACTTCCTGCGATTTTACATGACTAGTTGACTAGCAGTCGTCGAAATGCTGTTGCAGTCGATGTCGCAAGTACCACTCGCGAGATTTTACTCCACTTTCAGTTTTTTCTTGGTCGTTTCAAGATCGTGGCCAACTAGGTAGTTAAAAGGTAAACGGTGTTGCGGTCATGAAGACAAACGCGATCCGAGATAATATACGACGAGTCCACCTTCCACCTACCGTACTGACTGTGACTGACTGTGTGAGCAGTGGTCGCGGCTAGTTGCTGTCTATTTTTAGCGTTTTCGCTTCGTGAAAAAGCATTTTAGTTTATAATAATCGGGAGACTTTTGTTTACGTGTAGGTACGCAAATAATTTTGCATATTGTTATATTTTCTGCGGTGGGCTATACTATTTTCGTATGTTTTGGTTCGGTTTGCATTGATGGGTATGGGTACCCGGGGAAATCAGAAAGTAGGTATACGCATCACACATGTTCCTAATATAACTAGCTCTCTCTTCGTAGCATATACTAACACATGCTGTCTTCGATACTATATCTTCTTGGAGCTTGGAAAAAAATAAAGATTTGCAATAGAAGTTGTAAATACTTCCCGAGGTACCTACCCAGATAACAAAAAGACTTTCTGATAAACCTTTTAATGTCGAGAGGCAGCGGCAAGACGTCTCTAGGATGTCCACCTCTGTTACCATTTTCTACGTATGCAAATGACGTCCAAAACATGTGAAGACCACAGGGGAAAAAGGGGGAATGTCACAATATAGTGGAAATTGACTTGAACACCACCATCTGATAGCCTACTCACTATATTTCAGTATTAACAGAAGTCCATAGCAATAACGCAGCATAATCAGCTAATATGCTCTCGTTCGAAAAAATACGTTCACATGGAAAAAACGCGGAATGTCCACTTGAATACAGATTCCATTGTGATTTTAATAGGTTGTTTTCACACTGTTAAAAGGTCAAAGTGAACTCTCAGGCAAACAGAATATGGAGCGTACCAAAGGGAATCCCTATAATGCTCGGGAAACATTGTGGGTACCTAGGGAGGATAGGAAGAGGAGGTAGGTATTGGGATTTTTTAACTTTTGGAGATTATAAGTTCTTGGGAATACTCTGTGAGGCAAAAAATTCCAAAGCTTTGCCGATCTATATATAAACGAGTTTTGGTAAAGAGAGTCGTTAATCTATGGTAAAGAGTTGTTCGACATATTCAGAAGTTGACGAAAAAACGGTGTGTTGACTGGGCTTGTCGAGTACGTCTGAGTGATGGCAATAAAATAATGAGATTGCTACATGATGATTCGTACTCATATCGCGTGGAATTTATAGAAAATGATCAAATTATAGAGATGAGAGCTGTACTATATGACAACTTACCGCTCCAAAGGTAGTCAGGTAAACAATCCAGTTTTTTGAAAAATTTTTTGGACATTTCCCATTTTTTCCTCGAATTTTTTAACTTATTTTTTGTTTTCGATGATTTTTCCATTCATATATGATTTTTGGTTAACTTTATCGCTCATTATACTCGATCAAATGAATCCAGGTGGTTCGATTTCAGTTTCCTTAAACTCCCAAAAAGTAAAGGAGGTTTTGAACTTCAAAATGCGTTTTTCCCGAAAGTTACTTTTTGTGACATTCCCCCTTCTTCCCCTGTGATCTTCATGTCCTCTCACTGTGGTTTCACATACCTTCTGATAAAATCGATTTCCACAGCTTAATCAAGGATGTATTGAGGAAAACTTGAAATCAGAATGAAAGATATTTTTTCTTGGCTATAGTTTGTTAACAATGCCGATGCATGAGCTTTCTTCATTGAATAAGTCGAATATAAGAACTGATTTCCATTCAATAACAAAATTGAATTTAGGTACATAAATGAATAAAAAAAAAATATATTCAGGCACAAAATGAATGTTTCATTCCTTGAAGCTTTTGGTGACGTTTTGATAATAATGTTTCTATGGTTCATGGTTCGCATATAGAAAAGAACCCAGGATCTCCTCAAGACTTCTAATCCAGGACATTATAGGTGATATTTTGCAGCCTTATAATGTTATTAGTATGCAGAAAATAGGACGTCCTCTTTTTGAGGCCATATTGGCGATATTTTGAGGTATTCCGTAAGCGATTGTGTGCTATACAGTCTCATTCATAAAGTCGGCATCACATAGGAAAAACTCTTAACAATAATTCATTTCGGAATTCGAGTAAAAAGGGCCTATGGCGTGAATATTTTGCTGTTAGGCTTCCTGATAGAAAGATTTATTAAACGCAGTGACATTTTGGGGCAAATGACCTGATGGACACATGTATTTTTATTTTGATAGAAACGAGAAGAGAAAATCCCAAATAATCAAGTAAAATGAATGTAACACCTCGTCGATTAACCTACAGACAGTACTTGAAGTACAGTCGTCTTCAGAGATCATGTCGCGGTTGGACGGTGTCAGCGCTCTTATTGCAAGAGTTATTAAGAATGCTATCATCGTCCATATGCGACATGTTTTCTGAAGACGACTGTACATATACATACTAGTTCAAATCAAAAATAAATTTCTGGATTCGTTCTGGAGATATACATAGTTAGTAAAAACTATCGAACCATCACTTAACATAATGCGAAAATGTATTCTCTTGATATTGGAAATTTATCGAAGTAAAAAGAAACAAGAATTTTCAAAAGGATATTAATTTAACTGCACCACTTTTACTTATACACAATTTCATATAGAAAGAATATGGAACCGTTGCAAGGGTACTTTTTACTACCTCTGTGTATGTAACATTTGATTCGATTCAAAATATAGGTCACCTAGTATCATCTCGAAAATTGGAAAGCATGACTCATCATCTATCAAACATGATGTTGAATTGATTTGTATCCGGAATGTTTGTTTGGATCTACTCAGTCTCTCATGGAAAGTGATTAGGAAAATCCAGCATGAGTTATTCCACGAATCTTGTTTTCAATAATAGGTAAATATATTTTCTGAATATTTAAATTAGTCACTATTCAGAGGAAATGAATTGAGTTGAAGAAGTGTAAATTGATAAAAACAGCTTAAAAATAAAGGCAAAATATTGTTCAGGAGGTCTTTGACTAGGCAGAATTAAAAGTTTTCAAAATAGCCCTGAAAATATGCCCCAACTTCAAAGTTGACTTCATCCCGCTGATTCACATTAGTTGTTTCTGGAGAACGTAACTTGGGATTATACTGAAAATTTGGTGCCTTGGATAATTAGTTGTGCTCTTTCGACCTAAAATATTAGCAGCGCTGCGACGTTGCCGCTTATATTGAAAAGTAGCAACAACTTTGATTTTTTTGAATAGGACACCCTGTATATTATTCCATTTTCAGATTCTCCTAGAAGAGCTGATTTCATTGACCTATAACACTTGGTTTTTTATGTTTTTTTTTTTTTTATCGCTTGGAGCGCACGAAAGGGAATCCCTATAATGTTCAAAGAACATCGTGCGTTCCTAGGGAGGATAAGGACAGGAGGTAGGTATTGGAATTTTTTTTTGAACTTCTGGAGATTATATGTTGTTGGGAATACTTCCTCAGGCAATGAATTCCAGAGCCTAGCCGTTCTATGGATGAAGGAGTTTTGATAAAGTGCTGTTCGACATCTTTCGAGGTTGACAACGAAAGGATGTGCTGACTGGGCTTGTCTAGTTCGTCTGACTGGTATTGCTAGTGAAGGGATGATAGCAGAGATTTCCGAAGCACATTTCCCGTGGAAGTATCGATAGAAAAGTAAAAGGTCGCCGACCTTTCTACGGTGTTCCAATGATGTCAAAGACTGAGTGAGTGTGGCGTCACCCACCAGGCGGATGGCTCTTCTCTGGATGGAATCTAAGAGCATCAGCGTATGTTTTGGTGCTGAACCCCATATGTGGGAACAGTATTCTAGAACAGGCCGTATCTGAGCTTTGTAGATCATGAGAAGCTGTTGAGGTGTAAAGTAGCTTTTCGCACGGAACAAGAATCCGAGTTTTTGTGAGGCAGCTTTTGCGATGGATCTGACATGATTATCCCATGAAAGAGTGTTGCTGATGGAAATACCGAGCATAGATATGGTGGGCTTGGTGGAGATGGTGGTGCCACACATTACAATGTCGGGCATACTGAGTTCCGCCTTTCTAGAGAAAATACAGGCTTGAGTTTTGGTGGCGTTGAATTCAACTAGGTTGTTGGTTCCCCAGGCTGTGATTTCAGCAAGGTCTTCATTGACAGCATTGACCTGCCTGCGCCGTGAGTTCTTAGTTTCCTGGCAAGAGATGGGAATTCTGGATGAGAACGCAGTATGGAGGGTACTATCATCTGCGAAGCTGTGGATGGGGCAAGTTGTTACTCCCAACACATCATTGATATGCAGAAGGAATAAATGTTGGTGCCAAAATTGATCCTTGTGGAACGCCGGAATTGATGCCAATGGTATCAGACGATACACCGTCCACCACCACATGAAGCGATCTGCCTGAAAGAAAACTCGACAAGAGACGGCATAGCTGAGGTGGTAAGCCGTATGATGGTAGTTTGTGGAGGAGTCCTTTGTGCCAAACACGGTCAAATGCTTTCGATATGTCCAACGCGACAGCTAAAGATTCCCCGTGTTTTTCTAAAGAAGCTTGCCATAAATGGGTGACGTAGGCAAGTAGATCTCCAGTCGATCTTCGGTGGCGAAAGCCGTATTGTCTATCATTGATGATTCCTGAGCTCTCCAGATATTTGATGAGCTCAATGTTGATGGCTTTCTCCATCACTTTGGAGATCACTGATAACAGGGCAATGGGCCTGTAGTTGTTGGGCAGGTTCTTGTTCCCTTTTTTGGGGATTGGTTGGACTCTGTCGAAATTATTCATAATTGGTCATAACGGTTTCCAATTTCCATGCCCCTATCCCAAGTTTTTATATACTATATTAATTGATATTTAATTGAAATAGGTACAGGGTGGTCCAGAATTAATATTTTCAACTACCCTGTATCTATTTCAATTAAATATCAAGTGATAGTACATGAAAAGTGGACATAAAGACATAAAAACCGTTTTTAT